TGGCGGGTCTTAGTCTTTAGCATATGCCAGTACCAACTAACCATCGAAGTGAATGAATGATTCGTGAAATATTTCTGTGTAAAAATTACGCTACTTGCTACTGCCCCAAGTTCACCAACGTTTAGATTTTCTAACAATTATTTAAGAGTGATCACCAACCATGGCGTCCCATAAATCTGTAGACCAAACAATTCAACGGAGCTATCCTCCAGATAAATGCAGTTTTTCAAATTCTGTTTTGCATTTTTCACCTCATGCACCGAAAAACTGTCGCTGAGTGTTTGCTTTATCGCGAACTCCTTTTCGCTAAGATCTTTTCCTGAAATGAATTATTCGTAGTTTTCTAAAACCATGCACGAATTAAGCGAATCCAACTGCACTTGCATCGCTCATACTTCTATCCTGTATGACGTGGAATCACCTAAGCAAAGTTACCAGGCCGACTGATCAGTTGGTATGGGATTGCGTTTTGATGCTGCCGTTATAATATTTTTAAACACCAGATGCATTCTGTGTCAGGCTTCGCTCAAAAACCGCATGCAGCCTGATCGATATATATGCGCCTCCCAAGTGGTCATTTGCTTTTACAGGAAAATGCCATAAATGGCATGCAAAATGTATTGTTAATTGTGGATACGGTAAAAGAGGACATTTTAGAATCCATTTTTAAGTCTTTTGGTCCATTTTATTTCACGAATTATTTGATAGTAGCAGCAGATTAACCTGTAGCTTTCATAAAGCGGTCGTCGAATGTGCATTCATGGTTTCCAGCAATTACTATTTTGAAAACATGCTTCAATTGTCCTGAAAAAAAATGAAGAGAAACCGATCAGTTTAGGCTATCACGGCAAAAGCATAGCTACTTGAGGAATTAAATAATCGAGGAGTATTTGAAAAAATTCAAAACTAACAAAAGAACAGTACTTTTTATGAAACTGAAATACATGTGCTAAATATATCCAGACCAACAGATTCAGTCCAAACTACCTATTCTGTACCATTTCTGTCAAAAGAATCGCCCAGTTGATCATTGTTTCAAAAAACGATTCTGATAATAGGATCACTATTTCACCGCCCTCGAGCAGACGCACATAATTAGTCAAAGCAGCTGGAAAAGTTGCCAGCTTTGCAGCGGAAAACCGCCATATAAATTGCAGTTAATCGACAAACAAATTTTTTTCAAAGGAAAGACATATTACTAGTGTAATTGTCAAAAAGTTCAATTTCATCCGGCCGACCACACAACGTGAAATCTCCGGCAATAATCAGCACGTCGCCAGGTGGAACGCTTTGAGGATCCGGAAATGACTGGTGAAGACAAGACATGCAAACAAATCGGACAGCATCTCGCTTCACCGGAGTGTTCAGTTTCATCTTCAAAAAATAATTTTTTCGTGCAAATTCATGTAATTAATTTTACAAATTAAGAAAACACCGAAAATAATTAAAGCTAGGGGCCGAACACAAAGATCGCGAAGTTTTAAGAAATTCAACTTTTTAGTTTTTTAAAGATTTAAAGTCCGTTGAAAAATACTACATTAATGTGTACTGTATAGGTCAGCTGAAAATGTTGGAATTGTTAACAATTCGTTAAGTTCATTACACTGACCGTTTCAATGATAATTTTTTGACCGGGAGAAATTTTACCTGAAAAATTTTTGAGAAAAAAGCTGTAGCTGTTCGAATTCCGGCTACGCTAGCACTAACTTTTCAAGCGCGGCTTATCGAGTTGTTAACGTTCTATTATTCCAGCTCACACAATGATTGGAGGCCGAGAATAATTCAGTTATCACTGCATTTAATCGGACTTGAAATGTACAAAATTAACTCACATTTTCAAAATTGATACTCAGAAATCGACAGATTTTTGTTTCTTCGAAAATTCAATTTTTCTTGCAAAAAGCTGTTAAGTGGTACTCACCTGTCGAACCGGTTTCACCGGACGGTTATTTTTGAGCATTTCCCATGCCAACAAAGGATCATTTGTGTATTTATGTGGACTTATCTGCAACACTTTTTTTATTTGATATGAACAATTTTTCCGAGCTTTTTCCCACATTTACAGTGTGACTCACATAAGAACGTTTTTTACTAGACAAAATATAAGCTTAGCGTTTTTTGGGTGAATATTATATATTTCATTTGGGGTTTCAGGGCTGAAAACTATTCGCGATATAGCAAATATCAGGAAAACCAAGGTCAAGATAAACATTACGGGTGCTCCTAATTAGTGATGTAACTGAAATACTTCCATGCATCCCGAACTATGTCAGAACCTTCGATCCTGGGTTGCATATATATGACAAATATAGAGAAAAATAAGTGAAAAACTAAAATACTGTTTTGTGAAACAAATATCGGTCGATTAGTCTGACAAAAAGCGTAAAGAACTACCTCGCTCACTTTTCCCTTCCTCGGTAACTCTACTTTTTTGGCTACGTTATTAAACAGAGTATCCCTTGAAAAAATTTACTTATCCTTTTCAGCTATTGTTCCACTTGAATAAAGTCAGTGACATTTTTGAGAGATAATTCTCTGCGAAATCCAGGAATCATCTGAAATTCGGAAACTGGGTCCGCAGCTAATGGAAATTTTTGTGTTTCATAAAAAACAGTTTGCACCTAAACTCACCTCCGTCGAATTTCTTTTACGTCTTGATGAATGGGAGCGCGAAACCCGACAACGCTGTGAACTGCGACGCCGAAAAACTTCTAGCGCAGCTCCTACTGGCGAAGATCGTTCATCATCAAGCGTAGCTTCGCGCATATCCTCTGTCAGGTTCGCTATATCCGGATGGCTATCTGTAAAGTGCCTTTTATTCCAATTTGACTGTTAGCACATTATGGCTTCAGACTAAAGACATGGTGATTCTTGAAAACAGTCGTTGATT